AAAGAATACTTTCCAATTAAATATAAGAACTCTTAAAGGTTATAAAATTCTGAGAATAAATCTATGGTTTAGGGGAAAATAGAAGATATCATTGAATGTCATGATAATTTAATAACCACATAAGATGATGTGTTGGAAATCTTCCCAAATACAATTTTCATCCTCAAGTGAAAATGAAAAGTGCTTTATCTTATGATCATGCCTGGGTTTTTAATTTGGCATGTGTTTTGTTAGTCTAGATTTGGGAAATGACAAATTATAAAGGTTTTAGGAACTGCTCAATTACCTAAAACAATTCTGGTCAGACTGTTTTCCAAAGTAGGGACATCTAAGCCTACAATGAGTCATGTAAAAATTGAATTCAATGGAAGTTCTTTCCTGACTTTACAATGGGGATACTTTCATCATCTATCCAGATCAAGATTCTCTAGGGACAAAGAAAAGGGTTCTAGTCATTCTCATAGTCTATTTTTTAGTTCAGTTTACAGGCATGAGATATTTGCCAGTATCTCAACTAACAATAAAAACATCATTAAATATTTTCTTCTATATTACTTGGCAACCTACTAGTTAAGTGTATGAGCCTTGAAGATAGTGGATCTTGGTTTTAGCCCTTATTTAGTTTCCTTACATAATAATACCTCATAAGGCTAATATATACAATCTCAGAGAGCTTCCTCAAATAGGAGCTCAATAATTACAATTACTATTATTATGATTATGCTCACACAAGTTGTATAAAGATAGAGCATGTGTTTTTATAGTTCACTTAGAGATGAAGGAACAAACTCTTACAGAGTTTTAGGTCACAGGTAAGTACCTCATGTTCATGCAAAGTATTATATTAGTGGTTGACAAGAAACAAAGAAAACAATTGAATCTATTTCTGAGGAACTTTTACCTAAACTGGGGAAGAGGATGGTTGTAGGAGAATTATAATCAGAGATATGACATTATGGGTGAAGTTAGTCATGGAAGACATCTTAGTGGAAGTGAGCCTTGAGCTCAGTTTGACTGAAGAGTAGATTATGGGTTGGAAGAAAAGAACAGGGCAGTAGGAATCATACGGATAAATCACAGAGGAGTAGTAAAACTTGACAGTTGAACAATATTCATTTTCACGTGTAATGGCAGAACAAAAATTATTACCATCTCAGTATTCATAACATTATTTCTCACCAAATTCTGCTGTTTTGATCTGTTAACTGGAGGTTTGATTGAATAAAGTAGAAGATATTTAAATTTAAAGAATCAAGGCTAGTTCATTACCCAGTTGGGTGGATCATGCGTCTCTCAAAGGGGTTACAGAAAAGTCTGTTCTCATTTCATTCTTCTTTATCCCCATATCCAACATGTAGAAGCTTCACCATCCACCTCCCACCTTGAGTTGCTACATAAGAAAATAGTTTTGTATTTAGATGGTTGATTAAAAAATGCCTTCATTATAGTTACTAAAGTATGATCAAGCTTGGGGGCATGTGTGGAGATGAAATTGTGGTAAAGTTGTGAACTAGGTAAGATGTATCATTGCATTTTTTTTCTGTAACGTTAATTTTCCGCATAGCCTGAATCTCGTCATGCCCAATCTGTCTTCATTGATATTTCCTGAGCACCTGCTACACGTGAGGCTCTAAGTTGAACGCTGAGAAGCCAAAGATACATGCCCTGTATCTTTAAAGTCTCACCTAAAGTCTAGCTAGGAGATAAGAGCTGAAGGGAGGTAGGTGCTTCAGAATATCTAGAACCAGACCCAAGGGAAAGTTAGTTTTTCTTTTTTATGTGTAGGACTAGTCTTTGCCTTTCTTTACAGTGCCCTTCCAAAGGGACAATCAATGCTAGGATGAACAGTAACTGCTGTGTCTACCACTTCTACCAATAAAGTAACTATAGAACTGAATTGAATGTTCAGCTTCTGAAAGTGCTCATCTCAGAGTCATCCCCACAGAAAAAAAAGGATCTTTATATTCTATCAGTTTGGAAAAAATCTACTGTAATATAATATTAGGCATAAGAAATGGAGCCTTTCTTTTATCCTTACATTTTTATTTCAAGTAAGTGTCTTAGATTTCCCTTGACATTTATTTTGTGCCGCTTCGACCTTATTCTGGAATACAGACATAGACCAGACCAAAAATACAACTTTTTTTTTTTTAAATGAATGCATTTTGATAGAACTCTGAAGTGGTAAAAATTTTTAATAATACATTAGTTTTTTTTTCCTCTGCTACCTGATGTCTGATGCTATAAGGTTTATTTTCTTGATGTTTATTACATGTAAGTTTGGTTATATAAAATGGAAGGAAAAGGACAGAAGGCGCTAAATTAGGCTATGAAAGTTCTTATAACTACTTAAGAAGTTTATCAGATAACACTTCTACTTCAATGATTTTTAGGGGGACTTTCAAATGGGATCACTAATATTGTATTCAAATACTTCTTTTTGTGACAACTTAGCACCATATTCCTTTTTAATTATGACATTAGAATAGTAAACACATATAAAAATTTCCCTCAAACTATGTCATATACCTTGTACACCAAAAGCAGCACTTTGGTCCAAGTAATTTACAACGTGAAAAACAAATTCTGTTGCTGTACAAGGGCCTGAGAAACCCTATGCATATCCCAACTCCCCAGTTTGACGGGGCGGGGGATGAGGGGCGGGCTGTACTAGAGTGGTTGAAACTCAATAGATTTCGGTCAAAGATTTATTAAGAAAGTAAAATACAACTGTTTTTCCTGTGCTCTTTACAATTTGTCAATGTCAATCCTTTTTTCGATGGTCTCTCTGCAGGTTCACTTGGATCTTTGTGGGCCACGGTTTACCTCTAAGAGCCCCCTGTTGAGCAGGGAGAATGAATGTGCACATTTTACTGAACATGAGTGCCTCCTTTTGTCCTCTGCGTGGGGAACGAGACTATTTTTTTTATTGGGAAGTCAGACAATGCGACTAAGTCCCACTGCAGTAGGCCTATGTAAGTTCCTATTGACATAAAACTGGGAACAAATGTGGGTAGAAAGAAAATAAGAGTAAAAAGGAGAAGCGCAAGAGGAGGTGAAATCAGAGGAAAGGAGCTCAAACTGGAGGAAGATGAATCAGGGGTTATTCTTCCAACTCAGCAAGGCAAGTAAACGTAACGTAAGTACTGTCTTTCTGCACTCACGTAGAATTTACAAGACACACAAAATGACACAAAAAGGCAGTAGGTCAGCATTCTTGGCAAATGTTTAGGCAATTGAGGTAATTATTTGGTTACTCTATCTTGAATAAAGAAATCTTCAGCTTCCATTTATTCATAGTTCATCTGAATAAGAAAGTTCCAAAGTGGCTTTTCCCCCACCCAAAAAAAACTGACTAGGGCACCTGAGTGGCTCAGTTGGTTAAGCGACTGCCTTCGGCTCAGGTCATGATCCTGGAGTCCCGGGATCGAGTCCCGCATCGGGCTCCCTGCTCGGCGGGGAGTCTGCTTCTCCCTCTGACCCTCCCCCCTCTCATGCTCTCTCTCTCTCATTCTCTCTCTCAAATAAATAAATAAAATCTTTAAAAAAAAACCTGAATAAATGTAACTTAGGTTTACAATAGAGATCCTGAAGCAGTGAACATTTTAAAATGACTTCTGAATCATCACAACATTTTTAAATAATTAAGTCGTTTATTAATAAAGTGCACTTGTAGTTAACCATCAACTTCAAAGCCAGCTTGGAATCTGAGGCAAGCATTAACCCAAATATATTTCATCAAAGACTAGTTCCAGATACTCTAAAAAAATTAGCAATGCTTGTTTTTCCAGTCAGTTCTATGTATCACTTTGGAAATTGCTGCTTGAGATAATCAATGATGTAAATCAGTGATATAAAACAGCCAGTAAATTTTAGTTAAGAGACTGTTACACTGATAAATTAATATCTCTTGTTTTCTTAATTTCTCTTAATTTCTTACTCCATGTTTTCTAGATAAATTAGTGTTTCTACAGGTAACTGTGTAGCATTGATAAGGACGCTTCTTATCCACTTAAAGGTCCTGAAGGATTTAAAGAGTGTTTTATTGCATTTCATGATGTTTGATTTTTTTATTCAAAGTATTTTTGCATTGTATTAAAAACTGCAGAGACTGTGTTGTTTTATTAAAATAAGATGGTTTCACTGTATTGCTGCACAATAGAAGAAGTTAAGACCAGTTAATTCTCCAGCTCTTTGAATTTTTGGCTCAGAGAGACCTCATGGAACTTGGAAAAACTACTGAGCACATTTGTTATACCCTACGGCAGGCCTTGATTGGGAAGGGAAGAGTATATCGACCTTATGTAGAGGTGCAATGATCAATAATTAATTATTAAAATTACCAGGGGAAAAAAGCAGCGAATAAAGTATGGCCATTATATATAGTTTAACTACAATTCCTATCGATTGGAATTTGGAGAAGTGTTATATAGGGGAAAAAGTCTGGTGGTTAGTAGGAGAGAAAACCCTCTAAAGGAGGTTGGGGATAACCTGTCTGTGGTAAACAAAACAAAACAAAACAAAAACAAGACTCTAGAAGAAACAGAAGGAAGATGATGACTCAGAAAAAATAAAATAAGTTCTCTCTGGCAAAAACTGACTGATCAATCAGTGTGTGGCTCTGGACCTGAGAGAAGGAAAGAGAGGTCGGCACCTTGTTGAGTTTGTTACCTGGGGTTAATTAATCTCAACCGAACTGTGCCAACAGCACTTGTAAGATTTGATGGGCGAGGAAAGACCACTGCTTGATTCAAACCAAGAAGGTAGTTAGTATGTCTTACTTAGGATTTTTTCTGATCATAAGAATTGATGGAGTTTATATAGGTAGATTTTGGGAAATACATGGTCTTCGAATAAACTATTCCTCAGATGAATTTCATTTTGGGAGGTGGGGACCAAAAGAGTACTATAATATGTATATTTTGAATTCTAATTTTATTTTACTCTTTTGATAGCACCTTTAGGAGAAGTCACAGACAGGCGCAGTTTCTAGGACTTACATCTCTTCCAATCAGGTCCTCTTGGTTTTCCACAATTCCCCAGGGGGCGATGCCTATGGTACATATCTTCCCTCGAGACTTGGATGCATGGTCCTTTAAGGCATCTCCAACATGGCGAATAACACCTAAGAGAAAAAGAAGTATTACCCTTTCTTTTAAAGCAATTACTCTCCATTGTTCTAAAGGAAATTGTGATAAATGTGTCTCACAAGATTAAATGCACTGAATATAAAATTTTGACACATTTCTACACAAATGTTCAGAAGAGAACATAAATCTGTGGCTCTAATGTCAGATACATTTGCGGGACTTGTATATGAACTCTAGCAATGCACTTCTTTTTTCTTTTCTTTTTTTTTTTTTAAGATTTTATTTATTCATTTGACAGAGAGAGAGAGATAGGGAGAGCAGGACCACAAGCAGGGGGAGTGGGAGAGGAAGAGGGAGAAGCAGGCCTCCCGCCGAGCAGGGAGCCCGATGCGGGGCTCGATCCCAGGACCCTGGGATCATGACCTGAGCTGAAGGCAGATGCCCAACAACTGAGCCACCCAGGTGCCCCTCTAGCAATGCATTTCTCATTTGACTTTAAGTTCTTTTTTTCCTAAGGAAAAAAAATTAAAAAGCATCCAATGTTTTAAAAAACAAAACAAAATAAATACAATTCTTTAAACTTAGGGAATCTTTTTCTTCTACTATAAGCATAATGATTTTAGTATGGCTAAGAACCAATACCATGAGTATATCCTATAAAAAGCACCGTATAGAATATTATACGAAATCTACACCAGAGTTTGTATATGAGTTAGGGTCATTCAAATAGAGTAGTTACTTAGATCAGATTTTGTTAAACTTGATTTCATCTTCCTATTTATTGACACATAATGTGGAGACCCTACTTGTAAAGAAAGCCTTGGCATATTCTATGGAAAAGTTATGTTGAAAATGTATAAATACAGCTTTTTAGCTTCATTATTCTAATTTGTTTTCCTCTTCTGTCATAATGACCTTCCCCATCACCGTGGCCTTCCTCACCACTTAAAAGTGAAAAAATTCATTTATAAGATGGTAGGGAATCTATCTCTTACATTTTAATAAAGACAAATTGCATTTAAAGAAGATGCAACTTCTAATCCATTAACCCCCCCTCTGAAGTAATCATTTTTATAGACGCAAAATATATTCTCTAAGAAAAGCTGTGTCCACTTATCACAATTCCACCCATTTCTCAAGGAAAAATTCACACCTAGTGCCATCTCCTATAGGAAAGCTGAGTTGGATTTGATTTTTTTCTCCCTTTGAGCAGGATTGCAGTTTGCGTATCTTGAATCGCTCAGTATGTTATGTAACATATTCTTCTGTGAGTCACAATCACACGTGAGGGTAAAACTCCTTGTGGGGCAGGTTGGGGGGCCGGCGTCTTACTTCACCTTTGCGTGTCTGAGGTGCTAGCAGAGTCAGGGCCCCAACACCGCACGGAACTAAGCACACAAAATGCACCAGGCAATTTAATATGGGAGAGGACACACATGGGTGAATCATGCCATTCTGAAATATTCATAAGATCAAACAGAAAGACCCTCCTTTAAAAAAAAAAATCAAATAAAAGAGTGTAAATAGCACTAATCCATACTGAGCCATGCTGGCGGTGTTGATTAGAATATCAATTTCACTTGGGAGCTTTTCTAGGGGTCTTCTAAGATAAAGTAATGGTAAAAAAAAAAAAAAGCAAATACAAGAGTTAAGCTGGGAATATCAGTGTTCATCCCCCCTGCATTTATATGCAAAACTCCTTTCAGGGTCCATTAGGGACAAGTTTAACTTCATGGTATGCCCTCCATCATCCACAATCCTACCTTTCCCTCTTACCTAATCTGAGACGCCACCATTAGAACCTCACTTTGGGTATTGGATTGAATGCTAGCCTGGGGCGAGGCAGAGGTGAACTCTTTGGTTTACAGTATTCATGCTGTTACTTCTTCCTTTGATACTGGGTGCATTTCATAAAAGAAGAAAGGTAATAAAGAACGTTCCGAGTTCCCAGAAACAGAAGATTGTTAAGAGTTTCTTTTGAACCTTTAGAAACCTTCGAGTGGGTCTGTAGATGAGGTGCAGGGGATGCCAGGAAAACACAAGACCAAATAATCACGCGTGAATGAGGTCGCTACACTGAATGAAAGCTGGAGCCTAAAGCCTGAACAGCCACTGAAAGATAATAGCTCTGTAGATATTTGATTATTACCAAATAAACAGTAAAGAGCTGACTGAGCAGGTCATTCGAAGATCATGTCAGTTTACAGACTGAGTTAGGAATCCACCGAACAATGATGAGCATGCGCAGTCTGCAGCGTTCGCTGCTGAAATGCGCTTATGGAGTCGCATGCTGGATGTTCACAAATTCTAGGTATTGGGGAGAATTCTGAGTGCAGGTCTTGCTCAAGTATTACCCAAACTGCACACAAATGAATAAACAATCTTGAGATAACATCTTATTTAAAATTAGTTGGCTAGAGTTATGCCCAGACTGTTCCCCAGCTCCAAATGTGTGCGGGCTGCACAGACTTAGAGCCTTGAACCAAGTTTAGATGGACTTACTGCAGTATTCCTGGTGCATTTCCAATCGGCACTTCTGACTCAGGCTGGGGAAATACGTCAAAGCAATTTAGAGGCATCCATTCCATTATCAGTTGCACATTAATAATCTGCTGCATGTAAGCACTTAACTGTAAGTGGGTTTGTGAGAATTGATTTGACAGCCTACCTGTATCACAATATAGAGAAACTCATTTGGCAGGAGAAAAAATTGTTTGGAAATCAGAGTGTGATGTGTCTTCTATTGGTGCAGAGTTGATTTAATAAATTATGTTAAATAATAAACACACAATACTCCAGACTTTGCTGTCACAATTTATGTTCCAGATGTAATGGGCATTTTACAAAAATTAAAGCTATTTGCCTCAAACTTAAAATCACTTAAAGATCAGACACATAGCTTCCAATTTAGAGCAAAGGTTATTCTTAAAAAAATTACTGGATGCTTATCTGGCAACCTGAGGTATTGAAAATATCCTGTGAAATTCCATTAGTCATGTTTACAAATTCTGTAGAGTCAAGTATTAAATAGCCCAACCTGTTTCTCAGGTGTGCGTAATTCTTCCTGGTTGAGAACTACCTGTATGGTTATCATGTTGGTCATGAAGGGCAGAAGTATCAGAGGATGGAGAACCAGTGAATATAGACACACGGGGATGAGAGATGAGGTGGGAGAATACAAATATATTTAGCTTTAGGAGAAAATGGTCTTAGTTACAACATTCTTGTGGCCTTAGGTTGCCTTTCTCTGTCCCACTTCCAATTACCTGTGTTAACCCCTCCTGTGAATATCCACGCTCCAGTCGTCATGGCCGCTTTGATGAGACCCTTCCCAAAGACTTGCTTGAGTTTTGGTTGGAGTTCAAAGTTCTGTAGGCCCCCGTGCACGGAGATGAGAAGCTTGGGAAGCTCCAGCTGCCATTCCTTGGTCATCAGGTGCAGAAGGAGATCAGGTTTTGTATCAAAGGATACTCGCACATACTGGAAGAAGAAGGGTCACCAGTTAGGGAGACAGGGCAGGGCTGCTAGGGGTGGGGGGGCCTTATCTTTACTGACTGGAACGATGTGTGCAGTACTTGAAGAACACCTCTCATATGAAATCTGATTTTTGAAAAAAGTCAAATCATTTTCTTTACCAAGAGAGTCTTCATTTGATGAAGGGATTCACCATTTTTAAAGGTTTTCTTGAAATTGTGATTTATTACAAACTTCAAAATGGTTTGATTTTCTAAAATGCAATGCAAGCCAACTTTTCCCAGTTATACCAACTGGGCCTGAATATCACTGTTTCTGTGACCCTGATACTTTGAGCAGTTTTGAAAAATTCTGCAGTTCTACCTAATGTAATGAGAATTTTAAAACAAGGTAACAACTGACTACATTTATTTAATCTATAATAACTGCATACTAAATATTTCTTAAAGAAGACAAGTGACAAAAGGCATGCCAATCATTCTTGTAGAATAATCGAAAAAAATTAAAGTGTATATCAGATTTCAAGGTATTAGCAGATGCACCTGGAAATAAGTATACTAAGTATATATAAATGAAATGCCATAAATACATACAATGATAAACATGTATATAATCACATACATACTTATTTAGGTCTCAGTTTAATTATATAAAGACTTCCATCTTTATCTGGAAACAATTAAATTACTGGGCAAATATATTTGAAAGCCTTTTGAAATGCATTGCTGAGTGGGCATGAAAAGAGCCAATATTCAGATTCCCAAACAAAGTAGAAGCTGGAACCTCAGGAGACAAGGAAGGACCAAAGCAGGCTTTGGACTTGAGGGTTTCTCCTAAACCCTGGCAGATGTGGGCACCTGCTTTACTGGCTTTATGCAGTACAGACAAATTTAATGGAGGAACCCCATGTAAGCTGGGATACTTCAAAGGGCTCCATTCTCAAGTGTAAGGAAGAAAAAAGGGAGCAAAAGTCTGATGTACAGAAGAAGAGAGCAAGGAAACCTGCCTGCTTCTACCTTGGTTCTGAGTGGATGGGGAAGAAAATTCCCCTCTGATTATTTATAAACCAGGGGGCCCTCACAAAGGCTTTGATCCACATTCACACTATCAGTGTGGCTTGAAAAACACCAAAGTACTTGATTTAAAATGGTTCTGGCTGGGTAATGGCTCCAGATAATCAGCATAAGCAAATGCAAATCCTCTGTGGAGGAAAGAGCCCTCAATCCGGAGCTCAGATAGTTTCCATGGGAAAATAAACATTTCACAGAAAAAAAATAAAATTACATCTTACATAAGGAAATCCAGCAGTATGAATGAGAACCAAAAGAAATAACAGGAAGCAGAGTAAGATCCTCAAAGATATTGAAATATTCAGAGAATATAAAATAGCTATATTTAATATGTTAAAAACACAAATGAGATTATTGAATGTATCAGTAAGGAACAACAGGCTATGGGGAATGACTAATACTTTTTAAAATTATTATTAACATACAATGTATTATTTGTTTCAGGGGTACAGATCTGTGATTCATCAGTCTTACACAATTCACAGCGCTCCCCATAGCACATACCCTCCCCAACGTCCATCACCCAGCCACCCCATCCCTCCCACCCTCCTCCATCCAGCAACCCTCAGATTGTTTCCTGAGATTAAAAGTCTCTTATGGTTTGTCTCCCTCTCTGGTTACATCTTGTTTCATTTTTCCCTCCCTTCCCCTATGATCCTCTGTCTTGTTTGTCAAATTCCTCATATCAGTGAGATCATATAATTGTCTTTCTCTGATTCACTTATTTCGCTTAGCATAATACCCTCTAGTTCCATCCACGTCATTGCAAATGGCAAGATTTCATTTTTTGATGGCTGCATAATATTCCATTGTATATATATACCACATCTTCTTTATCCATTCATCTGTTGATGGGCATCTTGGCTCTTTCCACAGTTTGGCTATTGTGGACATTGCTGCTATAAACATCAGGGTGCACGTACCCCTTTGAATCCCTACATTTGTATCTTTGGGGTAAATACCCAGTAGTGCAATTGCTGGGTCATAGGGTAGCTCTATTTTCAACTTTTTCAGGAATCGCCATACTGTTTTCCAGAGTGGCTGCACCAGTTCACATTCCCACCAACAGTGTAAGAGGGTTCCCCTTTCTCCGCATCCTTGCCAACATCTGTCATTTTCTGACTTGTTAATTTTAGTCATTCTGACTGGTGTGAGGTGGTATGACCAATACTTTTGAAAAAGAATCAAAAGCAACTTCAAGAAATAAAAAAGTAATAATTTAAAGAAAAATACAACAGAAAAATTAAGCTACAGATTAGACAACGCTAATGAATAGATCCAGAGAAATCGACCAGATGCAGCCTAGAAAGACAAAGGAATTAAAAACGGAAGCAAAATTGAAAACCTTGGAGAAGATGATCTGAATTCTAGATGGAAGTAAAAGAGATAATGGCAAGAAGCAATACTTGAACAGATGCTGGCTGGGAATTTCTTAGAAATGTTGAAAGATACAGATTCTCAGATCCAGGAATGTCAATGAATCCCAAGCAGGATAAATAAAAACAAACACCACTCAGAGACACCTCACAGAGAACACCAAAGGGAAGGAAATAAAAAAAATCTTCAAAAGCTGCCAGAAAATAAGATAAATCCCCTACAAAGAAACAGTCATTTAAGACAGAAGGTCTATTCCTCAACAGCAAAAATGGATGCCACAAGCCAGTGTCTTCAATGTGCCAAGAGGAACTGTCAGTGTAAGATTCTATATTCAGCGAAAATATATCTTCCAAAAATGAGAGCAAATTATAGACATTTTCAGACTACCCAAACTGAAAATTTATCTCTAGCAGACTTTCCTGAAGGAAATTTTAAAAAATATATATAGCAGGGAGAAATTACATGATCCCAAATGGATGATCTGGGATACAAGAAAGAATCACTAACAAAGATATTAGCAAATACACGGTAAATCTAAAAAAGCACTGGGTGTAGAATATAAATGATGATAATGTCTAATTTATGGTGGGAAGGTACAGAACTAAAGCACTGGACAATACAGCATTTAACTGGGTGGAAGTTATCAGGATGAAAGCATTCTAAAGTCTGTATGTTGCGTGGGAGAGAAGAGAGAGGTACTGATTAACTCTGGAATTTGTTAGGTATTAATGTTGAGGTAGCGTAACTACAGAAAGAACAGAACAGCATGTAACCACACCAACATATGCTTTTGGATGTATAAACAAATAAGGTTATGCAGGAGGTGACAATTTATTGGAATATTTTTGGATCTAGGAGACCCCGTTGTTGCAAAAACCTCAGAAATTATGTCAATTCTTTTGTTAAAATGCTTTTTAAATATATTTAGCTGAAATGAGAGGCAAAGTAGAAGAAAAAATGAAAGCAGCTTGACAACATAAACTGCATCAACAAGAAATACCAAAGAGCTAAAGTTTCCTATATACGTGTATACTAGAAATCCAAAGAGGTGTTGGAATCTAATAAGCTGGTTCTGTGTTAATTTAATCTATGCAGCAACAATCAATTTCAGAATGGAAAGGGTCAGGGTTGGCAATTTTAGCTAAGTGCATTATACCAACAGAATTTAACTAGAGCTCACAAGATGAGAAGTGGCAAATTTTGTGCACAAACTTTCATGCAGAGGGCAAGAACTTTCCAATATGTATCCACAGAAATTTTCAATAACAATGTGCATTTTTGTGCCAGGCAAGGAGCCTTGGGGCTGAAGAGTGGGCATTGCAGTGGTAGAAGCAAGCACAATGTTTCTTAAATAAAGGCTATGTTATGATCTCTCTCTATTGTTAAATTTATTAACTCATTGAGCGACTCTAAGAAAAACATCTAGATAATAGATGCTATAAGATGAAAGAATAAAATGTTTTCTGTTCCTGTGCACTGTAGTTAAAATTTGGTGGCCCTGCTGAATTGAATTTATGACATTTTGACTAATTTCAGGAAGGGATATTTAGTGAAATAAATTAGGGCTGGGACTCCCAAGGCTTCCAAACTATACAAACCAAAAATGCTTTGGTTTGGTGTGGGAGATGGTAAAAAAAAAAAAAAAAAATTGCTTTTTAAGTGACTGTTCTCTCCTTTACTCTCTTATACCTTCCAAAAAGAAAAAAAGAACCCCAGGAAAGTGACCAAAAAAAAAAAAAATCTACAGAATGTGTTAAAATTCCTTTTGAAGCAGCCTAATCTTTTTCCTAGTTAAGAAAAGCTTGCTCGTGATCACAGAACTCTTGTTACTCTGAGTGCTCTAGTAGGGAATGAATGACCTTGGATCACCTTGTCCCCAGCTCTGTCTTACAGATGGGGAAACAGAGGCACTTGCTGTCCAGTCTGTGTGAGGTCACGTTGCTGGTGGGCCCTCTTCACATATTTCTCTCTGCTCTCAATTTCTTAATTCTATTGAGAACCGCCCCGCCCCCCCCCCGCCCCAAGCCCCAAACCAAGACCTTTTTGTATTTACTGTGCCCCAGCGAATACATTATCATGACTCCTCCCAGTAATGAGGAGGTTGGTATTATCCACATTTCACTGCTGGGGGACAGAAAGGATCCATCAGGTTCTCAAGTTCAACTGATAGCTAGTGGTAATGACAGGATCCATAGCCCAGGTTTGCTGACTCCAGAGTCCTTGCTCTTGACCTCAAAGTAAAAATGCCCCTCTCTTCTTCTCCTTTTCTTTCACCTATAAGCAGTCTCAAAGTTCTAATGATCCATCAGCCTCCAAAAGGCTTCTCAACCCCATACCCTCACCAAGACATCAACAGACAGAGTTCTTTCTCCCATTCCTTTTTGATCCCACTATTTCTCAGTTCAAAGTGTTACATTATATGTAAACTCTCATTCTGCCTGTCCTGGTCCTCCCTGCTTTGGCTTGACCCCACTTAGAGGTGTTTCCCCACTTCTCTCTGTATTTGGCTAATGCTGTTCCCTAAGTTGTAGGCTACCCAGTTCCTCCCTTTCTCGTATA